CAACTTATTGATCGACATTCAGCACTACAAACGTCGCATAAGGAAGATTCCGACCGCATTCCATTCACTCTCACGTTTCACCCTCACAACCACTCAGTTAAATCCATCATTCTTAAAAACTTTAAATTACTTCAAAACGATCCAGAGACAAGCACTATCTTTTCGCAGCCTCCGCTCATTTCATTCAAACGCGACAAAAACATAGGCAATTTTTTGGTCAGAAGTTCTTTTCAGACTAATGACCAACCAGGCACTTTTAAATGCGCTCGTGCACGATGCAAAACGTGTCCTTTCATTCACAACACTGATAAAATATCGGGACCTAAACGATCCATTAAGATCACCGATCACTTCACGTGCACCTCCGCCAATGTAATCTATTGCATAACTTGCACTTATTGCAAAAAGATATACATCGGCGAAACAGGCAGAAGACTAGGTGACCGATTCCGAGAACACCTTCGAGACGTGGAAAGGAATGACAAGGACACATCGAAACCAGTCGCTAGACATTTTAATTTACCTAATCATTCTAAGCAACATATGGCAATCTGCGGTCTTTCCTTACACTTAGGTAGCACGGAAAGCCGTAAAAATCTTGAACAAAAGCTCATCTTTCAAACCGGCAGTCTAAATCCCACAGGGATCAACGAACGCTTTTCATTCCACTAATTTATTCTTGTTTTTCTCGTTGCCATGTTCCCACCAATAACGTAGCTCCATTCTCTGCCTTTAAAAGCACACACAACCCACAATTCCTCTATTCGCTCCGACGAAGGGCTAACGCTCGAAACGTCAGATTTTGGAATCGTTACGGTGGCCAATTTACCACTTCAACTTTGTTGATATATCCAAATGGTTTCTTGAGAGGTTCCTGGGGGGGTGGGGGGCTTGAAAATGGATCATTTTAACGCGTCATGTTTTAATTAAAGCAAAACTAATAAGTTTCTGAAATGCCCTAGGAACTGAGACGAAATATTGGACGTATTGTTGTATTAGACACTTTTGGTTTTGTTCAAGCGTCCCGTTGCATGTTGGGGGCCATGTGCTTGAAGGCCCACCATATCGCTTTAGAATGATTCCATATCAATAATTGATATTGAAGTCAAGTTTATTATAATTACAAGCAACCTTTCTATGCAAGGTGGCAGGGAAAGTCTGAGTTGGAGCTGCTAAAGCCTCGTGATGTTATTTTTTACTAAAGCATAACTCCAAACTCTAGATGCCGAGGATATGATGTTGTCAATGTGACTTTTCTTTGCTTTTTTTCAGTTATGGTGATAAAACTCCCAAATTTATTTTGGGTCGCCTGTTTGGAGTGATTTGGATCATGTTTGGTCTGATCCTTGTTGCTGTCTTTACAGCTACTGCCACTAGTGCACTCAGCACAAACATGCATAGCTTCGTAAGAGTTGAGGGAAATAAGGTATGTGTGCGCGGTCAAACAGTTGTTGTCTGTCATTTTTGTTACCGTCATTAGAAAAAGGTGGACTTATTGAACTGTCAATAATGCTACATCACTAAACCCTCTCAGCGCTCGAAAATCTCTATCAGTATAGTTATTTTTAAGAAGAATTTAAAGACTAATCTTTTCAACGAAGCTTATCACTTTTAACTTTATACTTGACATACGTTTTTGCATTTTTTTTAGCTATGAAAATTTATTTTGGTATTTAGATTCTAATTTTACCTTAACATAATGATCGTAAAGCGCTATGGAAGATTAACTGAAAAGCGCAAGAAAGTTCCGACGTTTCAGTCGTTTCATGCCGCCAGCATCAAAGACTAGATATAAGTCTCATATTTACCGGCAAGAGGCCCTTAAGAAGAAGTCTACACAGTTAAGAAAATATGAAATAGAAACAAGTGCGTAACGGGTGTTGTTACTTTCCATTTGTTTTTCAGATTGGTGTGTTGAACAACACTTCGGCGGGCTTAGAGGCTAAAAAAAAAGGAGCGTTTGTCACGAGTAAGCCTTAAGATAACGTCAGCTTTTGTAATCGTTACGGTGGCCAATTTACTATTTCAACTTTGTTGATATATCCAAATTATTTCGTTACTCCCACCGACGCAGCCCCAAGCAGTTTCTTTCGAAACTATCAGCCTTTATTCATTTGTATTAGGATAACTTGATCAGAAGATTTCAATCCTACATTGAGAAAACATCGGACTTCTCCTTTCAGCTGCTATACGGCCCAGCTAACTAATCCTTGAGTTGTAAATGGGCAGTAAAAGAGTGTATTGAAATAGCCATCATGCACTTTACAAAACCTGACGGTAATATTTCATGTTTCCAGCGCTAATCGGCACCGACCACATGCAACACAAAAACTTTTCCGAGATAAAACACAAGCGTTGGGATTTAGATAGCCTTTTAAAAAAATTAACTATAGCTGCTTGGTCTCCACAAACCAATCTGATAGACAGTTTACTATAACTACAACTGATATGGAGTTAAATAAGTTAANATTACACTTCATTTAATAAAGTAATTGAGTTTTTAGGATTGTAGTGGTTTTCTGTCGGTTGAAATATACCATAACAGTATGAGGAGAAGAACTCCATATCAGATATATTACAGAAGACTGTAGATCTGTTGTCCATGACAGATTCCCCTTCCGTTCGCCCTGTCAACGATCACGCCCAGACATCCTCCCAAACCTTCCCCCCTTCCCCTTCGGCGACAAATAATTAAAATGACCGAAATGAAACCACAATGCAACTGATAACCGTTTTTCTTATAGCTTTCTCGTCAGTTAAAAAGATGTTCTCCAGTCTACGGAGTGATGAAATAGACGGTGTTCTCATGGACAGATTTAGAGCCGCAGTGATTCTGCGCGCAATGAGAGAAAGGACGATAAGAGTGTTTACTAGCTACGATGTAAAAGTCCCGTACTACCTTGCAATACGCGACACTTTGAGAGACCTGGTTGCAGAGGGTTCATGTTTCAAAAACAGGATTGAAAGGCAGGATTTCGAAAGCCTGTTTATCAAATATCTTGAGCCAACAGTGGTAACTAACACAATTCCTTGCTGTAGCGTTAACATGTGTATTCATGTTGTCTTTTATTGTTTATTTATTTATTTATTTATTTTTTTGCTTGTTTTCCTTTTTGGCTGTCTCATGTTCTTGTCGTTTTTCTAAGCCATTATAAACTAGATCTATTTTGAAAGGCCATTTCTACGTCTAAATGGGTCTCACTTTCAAACTGAGGTCAAGTGCAAAACTTTCCGCGTGGACATGATTTTTATTTGATATATTCATTTTTGCATGATTATAAAAGTTCATTTCCATATTAGATCGCTTTGTACGAGGTGCCGTAAAACCAAAACCAAAGAATTTATCACAACGGCCAATCAAAAGAAAGAAAAATACCTTTAATAACCAGTCAGCACGAGCGACGAGGTCGTGATTGGTTTCAGTTCTGCCTCTGATTGGTTGAGAGTAGTGTTAATTTTCTGGACCAATCAGAGCGAAGTAAAGCAAAAACAAAGCAATCCTGGATGAGTTTCGACACTCAATTGAAACTGCCCTAAGGGCTTTGCACCTAACCTCGTTTTAAGACAGAGGCGGCTTTGAGCCCCTCGGAAATGGCTTATGATACGACTTGGCAACAAACGAGCAATCTGTGTTAAAAGTAGATCACGTCTTAGATCGTCGTAGATCATTTCTTTCCCAGCTTCGTTGTTTATATCGTCGCAGCACGAATACGTAATGAAGCCTTATCACCCTTGTAGCCTTCTCCTATTATATTTCCTTCCAGATGTTTAACACTGATACAGACTCCTACAATGTGTTTTCGGGTGACTCACCTAACACTCGTAGATTTTTGTTGATCGTCGTGTGTGTATTCCTGGGTTCCGCTTTCACTGGCATAACAGCTGAAGTTATTTACAGGAAGTTGAGGAAAGGAAATTTGAGAGTGAAAACTGGAGAAGGTACGTGGATATACTCAGCAGTTTGCTAAAGTTAGCCTTGTGTCAACGTATTGAAACGAGTCGCATTCAAAACGAAAAAAGGAACTAGCTAGGAGTGTCCATAGGTGTGTACGGGTGATTTATTTTTGTTTTTCTTGTCGCGAGTAAATAACATCGAACTGTTGAAGTAGTCTATTTTTCTCGTAAATTCCACACTGGATGTCACCTGTGAATTGAGTTTGTTGTTGGTTCTCGTCCTTCCTCTGAGGGTTTTTCTGTGTTCCCCGGTTTTCCTCCCTCCACAAAAACAACTTTCCGGGAAAAGAAAGGGACAAAGGAGCCCCCACGCGGAAAGTCCACTGCTAAATTACCTTTATTACAATTCAAGAGATCATAATCTCTTGTCTTATAATAACCGCGTTATTTTACAATTGGATTCGTTTTACTGCCATCATTCATCATTACTGTTCATCATGATTTCCGAATAGTGGCTGGTTATTGAGCCTGGGCTTTTTCATCATCTGTTTCCTTTTTTTCAAATATCCATTATTTGTATACTTAATTGTTTAAGCAGTGATTAAAATGTTAACTTATTGACGGAAAACTCAGATAAAGGTGAAGAAAATGATGCTTTTTTTATGGGTAATGAACGTGATTTGAAAGTTTTCTTTGAACAGACCCAGAAAACGGACATGATTTGAGGGAAGTTAGCGTGCACAGTGTGGCTAAACCTAACCTGACCAATGTGGAGAACAAATTAAGACAACTGGTCGATGAGGTCAGCAAACTACGAGAACAGATGTCAACTATCTCATCCAACACCGATGGTTCTTTTCGAGAGGAACGGCGAGGCACAACTCACATGTGACAATATCTCTACTCTGAGTTTGGGATAATGTCCATAGCCACCAGTTACTGATATTTTAACCTAAATCTCCAAGATTAAAGGAGGCATACATATAATTTGGGCGGATCCCACCCATCGATAGACTTGTTAGCCTCAGCATAACGCACTTTGATCATGAGGACGATCGCTGAAGAATGATTATACAGTTTTTAGAGTGCAAACCTGTCAAGTCGTAACGAGGGGGACTTTGGGGTTTGCGGTGTTGCGATGTTAAACAACTCGGGTTAAGTCCTGGTGTGCCGGTTAACGAAAATATAAGCTATCAGGTATCTTAAATAATATCCATATCACGATCATCATTAGAACGGACTACGCCTGTTTACGACAATCGTTTCCTACTCAACCCAATGTAAAGATCAAATTAGGATACCTCATGAGAGTGTAATATCTCCAAGATATGGGCAACATTAAACATTATTCATCTCAATTTTGTATCGCCAAGATAATGCCAAGTAAAAAACACTCTCCATCCATTAAGTCGAATAAGAGTAAGCACAATCTTCTCATATCTGACGTCTGGACATGTCACGGCAGAGGAGGAGTGCTGCCAGTTGTTTTCAACATCTTGCTCTAAAAAACCGACTTCGCGGAAACTTCCTCCCATTAAAGCAAGAATTAAAAACACTTTCACGGGACACGTAAAGTTCATAAAAATTTTGCAATACCACCAGGATCTTACCACCGGAGTTTGATAGGGAACCTGCCGAGATTCCGATTGGGACTCCCAAAGGATTGTGCGGAGAAGGGGAAGAGAGAAAAATCATCGGTTTTCCGCTAGGGTGGAGCCAGGATCGTATAGTTTTTATGTGAATGAAAGTTAGACTGAGTAAAATTTCAATGAGATAAATTTAACAAATGGTAAACACCACAGCGTATACTATTGAGTTATACATGCACGCGGGAGGTTGCTAAGAATGAAAGAAGCGCAAGAGTCGCTCGAGGCGATAGCCGAGAGCGACTCTAGCTTCTTGAGTGCTTAGCAAACCTCCCAAGTGCATCCATAACTCAACAGTGTACGCTGTGGTGTTTACCATTTGTTTTATAACATAACATTGACACATTGTAGCTAGAGATCCCTTTCATTTAACAAATCTTACGCGACCAGAAAAAACAAGCGCGTGCGGGAGTCTTTGCATTTGCGCACGTCAACAGTGTACACCTATGCGCAAATGGGGGACGCTAAATTGGCCAATCAGAGCGCGCGCTTTACTTTGGTTATGTTATAAAGCCCGTTCCTTTTGGTATTTTTCAGTACACATCTCAGCTCAGCTGTTCCTGTTCCTCGGACATCCCTACATTTACAAATCGGATAGCTTCTCTTTTTCCTTTCATTCCGTGACCCAACCCTTTCCTCCATCGCAGCCCACTTAACTTAGCAGCATTACCCATCAAGCCAATTACAAAAACTGTACAAGGGAAAAATGTAGAACTATAGACTTAACCTGTATTTCTTTCTTTCCACACTACCATTGGTAGAAATCAGATATTTTGATTGAACATGGTGCTTATCAATCAGCGAAAAGAGAGTCTAATTCTAATCCATTCGAGATCTCTCTATCACTGAGAAATAAGAAAGCAAAATAGTATTCACGAAACATTATCTCTCGAACAGATGATTAAGAAACACAAGCAAGTACTTGCCAAAAAAAGTGACTAAAAAAGAGGTGTCTACCAAAATTGAAATAGGAACGTAACAAGACAGATCATTTCTCGGAAGTAGTGGTAAAAAATTTTCCGTTCTCAGGTTTGAGTAAGTATGGTTAAATATTGGGCCGAGCTTATCAGACAAGGAAAATAGCTGATTTCACTATATACGTTTCGAGTTGGCGACCTCTTAGGACCCTCGCTAGAGTGTAGGCAATATTAGTAAGGTTTCAAACTTGGATATAGATGCTGAATACCTTAGGGCACAAGAGTATCTAATTCTTAATGTTACGTTTAATTGTCTTGCACAAAAGGTTGGGCAAACAGTGACGGTAGAAAAATTTATTTAGATTTTCAGTACTTATTTAGCTCAACCTATCTTTAAGGGCATCTTTACCCCAAATAAGTTGAAAAAAATCCATTGAATGTGCACCTAAGTGACCCAATCGAGACTGTGGTTACAAGGACAAAAAAAACCATAATCACGAGACTGCTAACAACCTGTTGAAAAAGGTTAAGTTTGCACTGGCACTATCAAAGGGTACCAACAAAACATAATTTATTATCTCTGGGATAAAACTGTTAAAATTGACAGCTAGTGATTAAATTCATTTACATGTAGCTACTGAGGACAACCCAATTAATGCACTAATACTTTAGTGAATTAAGTATAGCCGAACGAAAAAACAAAAGAATGCAGACAATGCACAAACAAACACAACAACTAAAGCCCCACAACATGGATAACAAAAACACAACTAACTAACGTGTCTACCAGGCATCATGTTTTCTTTTCAAGAAGTCAAGTATGGATTTGCATCACACGTGCTCAGCACATATTTCTTTTCACCACAGTATGACAGCATAACATTTATGCACCTCAGCTGTTTGAGCTATGAGGTAAATGCTTGGAATTTTGCATCTGACTGTGGTCTGTCATGATATTAAGATCTGCATGTTTTGGAGCAGAGAGGGAAAAGTGTGACCTTAAGGATGAGAAACTGTACACTAAATCTTGTCAATAGCTGTCTGTAGATTTGAAATGATCATCATCAATGGTGGAATAGATGTGACCTTCATTGCTGAGCCACTCTAAAGTGGTCCTAAAAAGAAAAAGACAAAAGGAGCTTCATTAAGGCACTGTGTAAGTCTCTGAATGTTTTGTGCCATCCAGAGTTTTGACTAACAATTCAGATTTAACCCCTAAAGTGACTAGCATCTAATTTCTCCGTACAATATCACCCCTGAATCAAACAAGTAGTTTAGGTCAAGGCAATTAAGGAATTATCAAAAAACTGAAGAAGCTCTTGCTTGTTAAACAAATATTCCTTGTCAGAGAGTATGCATACTGATGTTTGGCATAAAGGAATAATACATTGTTTAAGTCTTTTGTTGTTTTGTCCCATCCATAGTTTTGACAAAGAATTTAGATTTAATCATGAATTTTCTTGCAAAATTTTCTGTCAGCATTCTCACTGTTTCCAACATAAACAAATCATTTTTGATTCTTGGCCAAGACGATGCTTAGCCACATATTGTGAAGGCCAACCTCACCTGATTTGTTGTTCTGATAGTCTCACTTTTTGTTTAATTTCAGTTAAGGACATGCCTTCCTCATGTTGGCACGATGTAATCATACTGTGAATCTGAAGCACAAAACTCATATTTCTACAAACCCCAAAATAAGTACAAAATCACAAATTAATTAGAAAAAAAAGAAACTCCCCCTTCCCAAAAGTAACACTTGACGACACATTAGTAGTACTCAGTGTAGTACTCAAAGTGAAAACCCCTCCATTTTGGAACTGGAGCAGCATTGCACTGGGCTTCCCTGATAATTTGCCAGTACACAATTACACTATTGTGTGGAGAGAGGCACTGTGAACACAAGGGGCTGCTTATTTAAACAAAGTTTAGCTCTTGTTTAACAAAACCAAGTTCTTAACTAGATATCTTGAATCTAGCTAAATCTTTTACACAAACTTTTATTTTTGCGAATAGTGTGAAGAGGGCCAAAATTTAGAAGAAGAAGGACATTTATTTCATGAAAACAACCCTCTTATAGAGTATATGTAAGCCCCACTGTTTGCGTAAAATCACAGTTTGGGTTGGACCTTGTCTAAATAACCTGCCCAAGGTGTTTTGCCCAAGGTGTTTTGCCCAAAGTGTTTTGCCCAAGGTGTTTTGCCCAAGAAAATAATGCACCACCCTGGCCAGGTCTCAAATCCACACCTTTCTACCCAGAGTACAGTGCAATAACCACTTGGACACTATGCCTCCCATGGTACTAAGTGGTAAAACATAACAAAACATAATTTTTGACTCAAACCTCGTTTTGAATACCACTGAGCCCAGCAATTGTTCCTCCCACGTTTCCTCCAAATCCTTGGTTCATCTTGCCTGGTGTTGTCATCTGACCTTGAAAGCCTCGCCCAGGAGTTGAGTGTTTCATAGGAGTTGTCATGCTAGTCATTTCAGATTGCTATAAGTAAAGAGAATATCACTGAACAAAGCAGAATCATAAACATCAAAGATTGTAAATGATTGATGGAAAAAAAGGTTAGTTGGTCATTCCTATTTGTGCAGCTATGCACAAAAGGCCTTGACCAGATAATGTTATTGATTTCTGTTGGTTGCCAGACTGTCAAGCTGCACTCATGTTGAGCCTCTGTCCCTCTTTTCCCTTTCAACAGTTCTCCTTCAATTGAAAAACCTTCCATAACTTGCACATATTTTTTTGAAAGTATGCTTCTAGGTTTAACATACATTTCTCTCCTAGGAACTCAACTGATTACCATATCAAAGAAAATGTGTAGCTAATTGGCTAAGGAGATAGTTACAATATTGAGACAAATTAGCCAAACAACCCTACGTAGACGGGCCATTATATGTATATCTCTCAAGACAGAAAGCAGTGAGCTGCACCACTGGAATTCTTTTTCACAACAAACTTATCAAAACAGGACGTGTACGGTATCACATTACCTTGCTTAATGCCAAGTGAGAATGAATAACCTCAATCATATGATAAGTAATTTCATTAAAGTCTGTGACAGGATTTAGGCTGTAGGCTATTAAACTGCGACTGTTCTCCCTGAATGACTTGAGGTGACCAATTACTCTAACATAAGTGTTTTCCCTAGAAAAGGAATGAACACAAAGGTTATGTATTTCTATCTTTTTGAGTCACTTTACTTCTGCAAAAAACTTGTGTTTTGGTTTTCAGTACTTGTTTTACATTATTGAGACTGGTAACTTTTTACTGCCTCCTCTGAGACTTGTTATATACTCTGCAAGCGGAACCATTTCCCTTGAAATACAATTATCTATTTCACACAATGCTTCTGTTCTTGTATCTGTATACTCATTATATTTTAAAAAGTTTACCATACCTGCAGGATGATCGTTTGTCTTTCTCTGCATCACTTTCCTAGAATTAATTTATTAAACAACAGTTTGATGATTTAAGCTGAATTAAAAATACTCATACAGTTTAAAACAAGGAAATCTGCAAAAGAAGCAAAATTAAACTGCACTGTTTCACTAATCAATTCACAGCTTGAATGGCTTTATTGATTGATAAATTAATTGACAAAACGATAGATTAAATAAGGTGAAAGTATCAAGAACACAAAAAGGGGACAGTTTCTCCAGAGGGTTAATGCAGTTGGTTATATTACTACTGATTCAACAACATAACTTAATAGGTTTGTTGAATAAGCAAAGTAATGAAGACAGTTTTATGAACTAATTAAAAATACTGTAACAATGTTAATTTATGTATGTTAAGTTAATTCATACAGTTTAGCTTACATCAGAGTTCCCGGATGTATTCATCTCTTCACTCGATGTGCACTTGGCTTACAAGATTAAATGTTGCGTTTAGAGACTCTGGTGCTTCATTGTCTGTCTTAGCGAACACGTTACAAATACAACAAAATGAAACTATTGTTCTGGTGTAAAATAAAAAAAGGAATTGTGAAATTTAAAATTTTAGAAGCATAACTAAACACAACATTTGCATTAAATTGGTTGATTACTTTATAAGTCCAGTAAGACTGCTCAAGTGGACAGAGCTAGAGTAGGTTAACCTTTAACTAACCACAATACTACTTCACATGAAGTAAAAATCAAACCTCGTTTTCCAGCCATCTTCTCACAATGATATCCTCTCCAGTCATATCATTAATTGTATACATAATATTTGTTGCTGACTCTTGTGCATCCCGAATGACACCAACAACTGAAACCTAAAAGAGCATTTAAAATAAAGGGTGTAAACTACAGGTTGCAGTTACAAAGCAGGGCTTGACACTAACTATTCAACTTACTAGCTAAGTGGCTGGTGACAACTTAGATGTTACAACAATTTCAATTTCTTTATTAGCCAAACTGGCTTCTGGAAACCAAAAACCACTAGCCAAAACTGAATTTCTTCTAGTCTGTGGCTAGTTGGCTACCAATACGTGTCAAGCCCTGATAGAGGTAAGTGGGTATCATTACAAATAATGGATCTTATAATTAATCAATTGATGTGAAAGGAGAAAGAATGTAGAGAGGTTTGCTGTTTATTGCAAGCAGGGTTCCAAGGATCTCTGTTCACAAGGTGTTATCTCTTTCACCCATTAGTACAACTGTAGTTCTCCATGTTGTCTGTTGTACGATTATTGTGATTTAAGTTTGGATAATTTGACACTGGATCAACTACTAATCCCCTTATTGATATTTTCTTTATTTTCCACTCAAGTATTGTCTGCTTGAATTTGTATTGATAATGTAGGTGTTGATCACTGGTGATAGTGAAAGAGTTAAATATCCATGACCAACTATGGTACACACCTGGTTCAACTCAGTATTCCCTATTTTGAAAGTGTCTTCTGTTTGGTTATAAGTCGCACTGTGGAGCTGCTTGATAGAGCAGGGAAGGATGGACTGGGCTCTCATTGGAGAGCGCTGAAAAACAAGCCATTAAAAAAAATTATTTAAGTCTGTTTTTCAAGTTTTAACAAATAATTAAGCACACAATTTGAATGTCTTACTTTTTTCTCCTGAGAATCTGTCATTGGGGAACCAAATCCCCCTGCATCTTGCATGTAGCCTCCACCTCCAAAACCACCACCACTATTAAAGCTATCCATTGACTAATATAAACAAAGAGCTTGCCAGTGAGACAAACTGATAAAATGCAGAAAGTAAACAAAATAACATCACCGCAACCAAAGTTTCATTTGCAAAAGCACTGACAGAAATAATGTGTAAGGCAACTCTCCCAGTCTGAAAATACAGTATGGTAGCTCAGGCCATAATCATATTAAAATTTTGCCCAAGAATTCAGCAAAGAGGGTGAAGAATTTTCTGTTTTCTAATCTTTAAGGAACACTTGGCTATAAATGACATAATTAATACAGATTATTGAGGGGTTGGAGAAACCAAAAGTTTTCAGTTGTGTGGATTCTACTGAACTACACATTACATTTTTATCAGAATCATTTTAGCCTTTGGACAGCATTAAGTACCTGATATCCACCAACAAACTGATCTGAGAGAAATCAAAAAAGAAAAATGGTTGGCATGATTCACTTTTTCATGAGTGATTCACTGGATTCAGAATGTCATATTGCCTAGAATGTTAATGAGTTTTTCAGTGATTTTGTCAGAATACTATGTTGTTTCTCAACAAAAGAAAGAAAATAAATAATCATTCCGGAAAGCATGCATTCCAGACAAGCCAGGATACGACTGTTCCCCGGAAAGATATCCATATAACCCCATACATTAATAATGCATTCCATTTCATAAAGACTAAATATAAAGGTTTCTTTGCAACATTCTATCCATAATTCATGTATGGGGTTATATGGAAATCTTGCCCTGTTCCCCATTGGGAAAACAGTTCCCTTAACCCCAATGCTTTCAATATAATACGAATTACACGACATAAGTTGCTAAACAACGCTCCAGGTCTCAACCGTGACACTGAAACACATGGAGACATTACAAACTGGTGTTGCAACTCATAATGCCTAAAACCTCATTTACAATTAAAGTGAGACAGTGCAAAGCCCAATCTCCCAACAAAACGTGTCGCTAGGCATGAATTGAGCCCGAAATAAATCTCTGCACAATTTTTCAAACAATTTAGAAAACATAATTGAACATTTACAGAACTAGTCGAATGAAGAGCTGTTTGACTCGCTCGCTTTGCAACATGGTGAGGCTAAAGACAACATAATTCAAATAACGAAAGATAGGTATTGTCGCAAACGTGTACGTGTAAAACAAAAGTTGGAGACAAACCTGTGCATTTGAAGTTAAAATTCAATTTGGAGTCAAAACGGTATTTCACTTTTAACTGGCTAGCTAGACTGGCTAGAATAGTGAAAAAGAAAGCTAATACAGTAGGCCAGAAGGAAAGTACTTACTTGTGTCGTTCCACATGTTTGTTTCGCTGGTTCTCAACGTTCTCGTAGAACTCAAAAAATCTAACGATAAGCTCAATGTAAATATTCCGCGAACGCGAACAACACGAAAATTGGCGCCAAATCAGGTCACACTGCGCACATATCAGCGCACATTAGAAAGGGTAGTACTGCTGCCCAGAAAAAAGCGCAGGGAAATTAGAGCAGGTCCGTTCGGTCCGTTGGACTTTGGACAGAGCTGAATCAGCTGAATAATGTAATGCTACGTCAGTGGGTTGCGGTCAACAACGCGGGCTCAAGTGTCCTAGGTCTAAAATT